GAGAAATCTCCTCTTGAAGCACGGAATTGTGCAATATATTTCATGTCTTAAGATGTATGGTTTACAGACTGTACTTTTGAAAACACTGTAGTATTTTACTGTCTGCTTTAGTATAAATACAGGAGAGATATATTTAGTATAGCAGAAAATAAACTGAGGGCATTTTAAATCATAAATACTAAAACTATATTCTGTGAGACATTTCTCTGTAGTTTATAATAGCTTTTTAGTGATATTTTAGAAATTGAAAGTAAACTCAAACCATTTAAAGATCAAGAATTTATTACATATATTTTCAAGCAAAAGCATTTTTAGAGACGCATCTCTGTGTTTGTTTTTGTTTCATTTCTCAAACCTTTAAGGTAAATTTCATAGGTTTATGTATCTGAGCATATACTATTCAAATGTAAATAAAGTAAAACTGATAGAGTAAATCATGGACATTTGATGATAATTATCAAGGGTGTCTTTATGACTCACTAAATCCTGCCAGCAAAAAAAAAGAAAATCAGTATTCATTAATGCCATGAATAGTAAGTTTGAAGTCCCTTAGTCTGTCTGAATCTGACAGGGGCAGTGCAAACATGAACGAAAGCTCTCAAATATCTATAATAAATGTAGACATTTAATTGAGTGTGTTGGATGAACAGTGATCATAAAGAAAGTAACTTCAGTTAGGTCTGCTTTGAGCAGAAGCTTGGTTTAGATGACTTTTGAAGTCCCAACCTAAATTAATCTTTGATTACATAACTCAAGATCTGAAGGATTATTAGCCCTGCTAATTTGCTGACTGTTTGGAACATTTGCAAACCCACTGTAAAAAGGATTTTAAGTTTTTTGAACAGTAGTCCAGTATTGTACTGGAATACATTTAAAGGCCTGATGTGGCATGACACAGAGAAATATCAGCTACTTAAACCTATGAGATGACATGCTGAGAGTTTCAGAAAGCATTCACAAAGCTCAAAAGGTAATTGAGACCTTCTTTTCAGTTTAACAGTGCAATCACAGCTGTTAGTGGATGACGAAACAGCCCCTTATCTACAGCATTCCGTTGTGATTTTTACTGCTGCAGCGTATCAGCCTGATCAGACCACAGTCTACACATAAATAGGACTCTAGCTTTTAGTTTTCACTTTTTTTTTCTTTTTTTTTAAGGTAAGACTAATAGTTTTTGGCCTGTATAAAGACTGTAATTTTTTAAAAAGTAAATCCAACATAGGGATACAATGTAAAAAACCTACCCACTCTGTCATTTTTTTAAGAATAACACTTGGCACTTTTGTACAAAAAGAAGGAGTCTAAATAATACAGAATGTACTTCTGTTTGCACTTGTGCAGTATGGAGACTGTGCTGTAAATACAGGATTGTTTCTGTGATTGAATTCTGTTGCATGAATGCTGCATGTGAAAAAACTAGATTCAGCATTTCATTTTCTGTTCTGTTGATGAAGTATTTTTCCTTTATGGTGATGGTAGGTTTCTGTGTTTCCAATGTTCAGTTTGGGAAATGCAGGTGTTGTGCAGGTGTAGTGCAGGGAGTGGAGAGTTTGTAACACCCTGTGTGTTCACATGATATTTAATTTCTTCCTTTATGGAAATTCAGGGAGTCTGTAAGTTGATAATTGGTTCACTCTGGCCTTTCTAGACACATGGGAGATGGGAGTGACTGTAAAATGTATTGGTTTGGTACTTACTGTTATATGAGCCAATGAATGAAACCAAAAGAATTAAGAATGCTGTTTGTTGTACAGTACAAAGCTGTTTTGTTTCACTTCTCTTTATGTTCTTCAGACAAGCTGCAGAACTTGCAAACTGGCCCTATGTTATCTGCAACACACTGAGCACTGTCTTAATGGTTATAATTGGTACCCAGTTTAAATGTATTTCAGCTGTTGCTTGGGGTTCTCTTTCCTATTATGTCATCTTGAAAAAAATATAGCTTTTGGTAGTGAGTCACTTTAAGATAAATTAAATTCATGGTCATACTAAAAGGTAGAAATAGCCTGTTGTCCAAAATCAGAGTAGGGCTAATTTGTCTGTTGTTCCAATGGTAATATATTCTGTACTGTATGTAATGAACCAGTTTCAATAAATGTAAGAACACACTGTGCAATCTATATTTAAGCAATAAAATAAACCAAAATTTAAAAATTAATCTTTTCTAAAGTGTCGGTTAATTTTTACTGCTCACAATTTATATATCAATTACTAATTTTGTAGCATTTAGAATAGCCCTCAGTTTGCACACCCATTTGTTTTTTGCAGATATTACAGCATTGCATTTTTATTAAACTACCACATTTATTTACTATTAAACCTGGACAGGCTTGAGAGGTGGGGCTGTGGGAATCTTGTGAGGTACAACAAGGCCAAGTGCAAGGTCCTGCGCCTGGGGTCAGGGCAATCCCAAGCACAAACACAGGCTGGGAGAAAGGGATTGAGAGCAGCCCTGGGGAGGACCTGGGGGTGTTGGTGAGTGAGAAGCTCAACATGTCCCAGCAATGTGCTCTGGCAGCCCAGAAACCAAACATGTCCTGGGCTGCACCCAGTGCCCCATGGGCAGCAGGGCAAGGGAGGGGATTGTCCCCCTCTACTCTGACCTTGGGAGACGCCCCTGAGGTCCTGCATCCCGCTGTGGAGCCCCTAAAACAAGAAGCTGGCTTGTCCAGAGGAGGCCACAAAGTTGATCCAGGGGCTGGAGCATCCCTGCTGTGGAGACAGATGGAGTTGGAGCTGTTCATCCTGGAGGAACATGATTTCCCCTGGCTCTGGGGAGACTTTATAGCACTTTGAAGTACCTAAATGGGATTCAGGAGAGCTGAAGAGGGACTTTGGGAAGGGCATGCAGTGATAAGACAAGAAAGAATGGCTCCAAATTGAAAGAGTAGGTTTAGATCAGATATCAGGAAGAAGTTCTTTCCTGTGAGGGTGGTGAGGCACTGGCACGGGCTGCCCACAGGAGCTCTGGATGCCACATCCCTGGAAGTGTTTATGGCCAGGTTGGAAGGGGTTTTGAGCCCCTAGGTTGGCAGGGGCCTTGAGCTTGAAAAAGCTTTAGCGCTTTTTCATTTGGTCTAATGAAAGGTGTCGGTGTCCATGGGACAGGCAGAGAATTCAATTATTAAAAAGTTAAAATATTGAAGTAGGAAATATTTGTAATTAGTAGTTAATAAATTAGTTGTTTGCTTTTGGGAAACAGGTTTTGGCCAGCTGTGCTCCAAATCTATGAAAAATATGGTGTAAAGTGACTATGACAATGAGAGAAGAAAGAAAAAAGTTATGCTAAATTTTGATCCGCTTGTCATTTTAAAAATTGTTTTAGCACTGATCTCTGATTATGAATAAATGTAATTAATCATGACTAGATTATTTAAGACCTCATTTTATCATCACAATTCATGTGGTAGTAATTAGGACACAACTTGGGTGTTAAACTCTTCCTGAAATGGAGTTACTGGGGAAAAAAAACTCAAAGGAATTAATGACAACACTGCCTGAACAAAAACGTATTTATTTTGTTATTTCTCTTCTACCTGATTTGTTAAATGATCCATCCCTATCTCTGCAGTCAGAAAATTCAGCATAGTTGAGTGAATGTTTGCATAACCATGAAGGTAGTAATAATTAGCAGAAAGGAATGGGAGTTTATTTTAAGGTGCAGTGTTCAGAGCAGCAGCACCACTCTTGTGAAAGAGATGAACTGATGTTATTGTTACTCTGCAGTGCAATTCATTCACCTGCTTACAGGCCAGTTTTCCACATTTCAGCTCATCATTTGTCTCACTTTCTCATTGCTTATTTATAAATTCTGTGAAATGTAAAAGAATTTTCCATCCCTATAATAAAAGCTGCAGTTCAGCTCATCATTTGTCTCACTTTCTCATTGCAATACTTATTTATAAATTCTGTGAAATGTAAAATAATTTTTCATCCCTATAATAAAAGCTGCAGTGTAATGCAGATCTCATCCTCAGCATAAGACAAAAATGGGCATTTTGCAGTTTTAGCATTTTGCTTCAGTTCTGAGATGTCCTCTTTCTGATCAGCATAAAGGGGGTGTTAATTAAAATCTTGTCTGCAAATAGAATTTCTCACATCACTTGTTTGACCTCTGCCTTCCCTCAAAGAAAGTCTTTTTGTTCTTTTGGCTTTTTCAGGAGGGCTGAAGATGTAGCCACTGGGATCCAGAGGGATTCACGTGACTAAATACCTTCAGGGTTTACTTTGGGAGTTTGTGTGGTGGGATTTGTTTGTTTGTTTGTGCTTTGGTGGGGGGGGTGGTAATGTTTGGTTTTTTGTGTGTTTGTTTGTTTAGGGTTTTATTTGTTTGGGGTGTTTTTGCACTGTAGTAATCCTTTGCACTTTTAATGTAGGAAAAATACTGAAGGGGGCATATCACCAGCCAGAATTTTATCCAATATAAACTGCTTCATCCAAGAGCATTCACAGGCATTTTCACCTGCTCTTCTCACACTGTTCAGTTCACACAGGATCACGTGCTGGGGTTTAGTGGACTGCTGCAGGGTCTGGAAGAACACAGGCAGCATCTCTGCACCCAGCATGAAGAGGGTACATGCTGTAGTCATTGGATATTGGGGATACATGCTACAGTCATTGGTCTGTAGGAATACTTTGGTGACACAGTTCAGCCCTGTAGAACAAGAGGATGGAGAAGAAATCCAGACCTTTCAGAGCAGCTGAATGAATCACTGGGAAGTTTGTAGCATCATTTTTTGTTCTAGGAAGTGTTGGTGAGTCACAGAGTCATAGAATGGGCTGGGTTGGAAGGGCACTTTAGAGGTTTGTCATGGCCTGATGTTACACTTCTCTCCCTTCAAGTCTGTTTTAAAGTCTGTCAGTCAGCCCTGATAGCTCATGAGCAAAGACCCTCCTGCCCATGTGAGAAATATGAATCCCATCTGACACAAACAGGTCTGGTGTTGTGCTGATGATCCTATTACCCAAAAAACCCAAATTCTGGCTGTGACTCAAGCCATGGAGCCAGGTATTGATAGACTGAGTCTGTCTGTTCCTGCAAGAATAGGGGAAAAAATGATCCACATTTCCTGATCAGCCATTCCAAGGTGCTGAAGTCTCTTTTGATCACCCTTGGACTGCACATTGTGACTTCAACACCCCCAGCATGGAAGAGCAATAACGAGTAACAGTCTGAGGGCTGTACCAGGCTGGGAAGTTTCCTGCTCATGTCCTTAACTTTGGCCTTAGGGAGGAGAGAGGCTTCCCTAAGAGGAGGCTCTGTCCAGCATTTTGGACCTTCTGTTACCTTCAGAAGGGAGTCACACGCAGCTATAGACAGGAATGAACAAAGGAACTTTCATGTAATTACTTTAGCTTTGCTTCTGGGTGTTTCCTGCTAAGCTCCGTAAAGGAAAAACGTCTGCAGAGGGAGTTGGAGTAGTTGCAGGTTTTAATTAAAAATCTGGAATACTTGGCCACCATCAGCAAGATCCAGTCTGAACCAAGTGCACCGTTAACAGTTTTTACATTTAAAAAAATCAAGTGAAATTATATAGAACACTGTCCAATAATTATTTAAGGTAATATCTAACCTAGACAGATGCTCCATAGTGCTGACCTCCCCACAATAAGGAGTTAATACAGCCTAACACCTAATCCTAGACTATGATTATGTCATTTGTGTGCTGGAGAGAGTGAAGCAGCGTGTAGAGGATAAGGAGGGCAGGTACTCAGTGCCTGGCTGCTGTCCTGCCCCTTCCCAAGCAGGAGGTGGGTGGTTATCTGCTCCCAGGGCTATCTGCTCCCAGGGTTATCTGCTCCCAGGGCTATCTGCCCCCAGGGTTATCTGCCCTGGTGTTGTCCCCCAGCTCTGGAGCTCCCCATGGGATGCCGCGTCCCTCTCTTGGCTCTTCGCAATCCGCCCCGCAGGGCTCCTTCCTCCTCGCTGCTCTCCTGGGAGCTGGAAGCCCCTGTTGCTGTTTGTGTGCCTGTGGGAGGCCTTTCAGCAGGAGCCCCTGGGCAGGAGAGCTTCTCCTCTCGGCAGCCCCGCCCGTGGGGCAGCTTCAGGCTCTGGTTGAAGAAGGCAGAAGCCATGCACTCGGCCGCAGCCGTGTCGCAGGCGCAAAGGAGCTTCTCACACATGCTCCAGCCAACGCCTGAAAGAGAAGGTTCACCATTCATGTTTGAAAGCTGTTGAACTTACTTCATGTATAATCTGCCATGGGTTGATGAGTTTTGAAAATAAAATTTTCGAATCTGCCATGAATTTTAGTCTCCAAAGTCACCGTTAATAACCTAAACAAAAGCCTGACACCAAGGCGCTGGGCAGTGGAAGGTTCTGCTGGCTTTAGTTGAATTTGTGAATGTAAAGACACAAATAGCTGACTTCTGACCATAATTATAAAATGTCTGAATGTAATTTTCTCAGCCTGACCTTGTCACATACACAGCAGTGTAATAACCTTTGTCTCAACTAGGAAAAAAAGTTCAAGTTTATAGTAAACATTGCTAATTTTTTGTAAGCTCCATTTGTGTCTCCATATTCAGCTCTAGCAGCTCTGTCATAGTGTCACTCAGTCTATCATGTTGATACACTGTCATCAGGACATGAGAATTTCCTCTCACGCAAGCTTACATTTTGGTGTGTGATCAAAACATACAACTTCAGATCTCAAATTTCTTTCTGCATGACATCCAAGTTTCTTAACTTGCTCCATACAGCAGTGATGAGAGAAGCAGCATCTAAAATAAACAGTAGAAGTAAATAGAAAATACTTACTCTTCCCGAATCCCATAACTCTCACAATTATTTGTCTTTAATGCCCATTAAAACTAAAAATAAAATAATTTGGTTTTCATACCCTGGAATTTTTTTTTATATAAAGAACAAAAATCAACCTAAGTTGTTCCCACTTCCTATATATGCCCATTAAAACTAAAAAAATTTGGTTTTCATACCCTGGAATTTTTTTTTATGTAAAGAACAAAAATCAACCTTAGTTGTTTCATACTTCCTATACTTGTTCCTACTTTCACTCTCCGCTTCCTCATTCTTTTCATGTCATGTGTTTAACAGGCGTGTGTTTTAATTTTAAGGTACAATTGCAATTGCAACCATGACCTAGTTTGCCATGAGAAGTATCTCCCAGTGTTCAAATCTTGGCTGGAAATCTGGAAACTGCATCATGATACCCAGATCATGCCATCATCTAATCCAAGTTTTGATGCCTGGGCTGCCTTGTTTGTGTGTGAGTGCAGGAAAAAGGTGCTCTACTTGCACCTGATGTGCCCCAACTGTTATGAACTTCCCCAGAGGAGGAGATTTTTAGCTATGAATAAAACACTCCCAGAGGTGTTTTTATTTGTGGAATTCTCTGCATTGCCCCTCATGGTCAGCCCTGCTGGCTCTTGGCTGCAGCTCTGGCAGAACTTTGCTCCAGCTCTGCTCCCTTCTGGAGGACACTGTGCCCTGGGTGGGTGTTAATTCTTCTCTTCAAAAGTCACTTTCCAAGCCACCTCTTAGCCAAGTGACTCATATCCTTATCCCTTTCCCTTTGATATACTCCTTCTTCTGCTTGACTTTCCCCCATCATTCTCCTTTCTTATTTGGAGCTAGTAAGTCCTCTCCAACATATTGGCACAACAATAGAATGTGGTTTAGTCACATTAGAGTATTTCGTGTTTTATGTATTTGAGTGGATGTTTTCCTCCAGAATGTGACTTGACTACTGCTACAAAGCTGTAGAATGCCCAGAAAATGATGTAGTGATCTTCCTTGGTCCATGGGCACCAAGTAACACCCACAGTTAATGGCACATACAGAGGAGCCCACACCTGTCCAGTGCATCGGCAGGTTCACCTCTTCCCTCTTGGCCACAATAGCAGCCATAAGACTCAAATTCCTCTGGGCACCGCTCAGTTAAGCAGAACAGCATTTCTCCAAGTTGGGGCAGCTCCCTCTCCACTCTTCCACGTCCTCTCTCCTGCAGAAAGGTCAGTCGCTCGCACGCTACAAAGCAAAGTTGTTATTTGTCACATCATGTTTTCACTGCTTGAGGGCTCTCTTGTGAAGATAGAAGTGTTTCCAGAGCTATGAGAAACTTTGAAAGGACAACACTTTACCACCTGTAAATTACTGCTTCAGTCCATGAATTATGGCTCTTAGAGTACTGCTGACGCCTCTCTTGTGAAGATAGAAGTGTTTCCAGAGCTATGAGAAACTTTGAAAGGACAACACTTTACCACCTGTAAATTACTGCTCTTAGAGTACTGCTGACGGAGCAAGACAGCAAAAGGGCAAGGTAATTTAAAGGGGAGAGAGAATCCTATGAAGACAGAACATACAAGTCAAATTGGACTGCAATGAGAATATTTAGCAGTCCTTTGTAATCTTTCAAAGGTAAATTTTTCATTTGGAATATTCAAGCTCAGCTGAGTATTCAGTGGTTTCTGTCTTGTTGATTTGGAAAATACAGTCCTAACCTCTTGTGCTTCCACAGTGATAGCTGAGCAATGACCATGTTTTGCTGAAGGAAACTATTTTTTTTTGTTCTCATTTGAAATATAGTCCAGTTTGAGCTGTAGTGCCCCTAGACCAAATGCAGGAGTGATCTGTTGTAATGGCTATTGTGCTGCTGAGGGTTTGGCATCACCAAATGCCAATCCTAATGTCTCTGTGGCTCCCTCTACTCAGGAAGAACTGATATTATGGGAATTATTCCTAAGATTTGAAAGAACACAGTGTTCCATATTAGGAAAAAGACATCAAAGGAGCCTGTTCTGGGACTTTGCTGGGAGAAGGATGTAAGAGGCTGATGCAGGAGAATGAGGGAGAGAGAGGGCTTCTGTTCCCTCTGCATCCTCCCTTCTCCCACAAGTAATCCCATTTTTCCCTCTGCTGCTCTAGACTGATTCCCTGCTCCTGTCAAGGTCAATCCTGGATTACTGTTTCCAACAGGAAATTCTGCCCATGTGCCTCTTGGGTCTTGATTCATTCATGTTAATTCCCAGAATAAACCACAGTTCAGGGAACTGATCTGTGCCCTCTAAAAGCTGGTATTTAAAATTGTATTTTCCAGTTTGGTGAAAGGTAGGGTTGATTCTTCTGCTCTTTTCCAGTTCCAGGGCTGCTTCTCTCCATTGGGAAGCCTAAAAAGATGGATGGGACAGTCCTTGAGTGTGGATTTATAGCCATGACAGGTCTGAAATGTCTTAGGATCTCTGGGATTCCTGAGCAGGAATTGGAATAGAATCAGAAATGGTGAGAAAAAGTCTGACTGGCAGACTTTTTCTTCACAGAAAAGACTGTGGCAAAAGGTCAGAATGAAGAGCAGGAAAATTCCTATTGCTGCTGCTTATAAAACAAAGTAACTTAAAGGTGTGATTAAATTACTTCCAGCAAACAAAAGCAGGGAGAATCATTCCCTGAGCTCATTTTAGATACTGCACTAAATGAAAAAAAATTCCTTACAAGCTAATAATTAGTGGTTTTTATAAGTGTTACTGACAGGATACTGGCAGAAGAGGTTAAAGTGATGGAAGCTTTTGCAGATGTCTCCACCTCCTGTTCTTCTAGATACCAATACATGTGTGCTTGTCTAATTGGTTTAAAATAACTCTAATATTTATATGTAATACATACCTGCTTTTAATACAGAGGTTGCTGAATATTTCATCAGATGTAATGGGAAAAAAGCCCTTTATTTACCTTTTTCTGCAGGTCTTCTTTCAGACTGTCCCAGGTCCAGAGCTATGCCAGAGGAAGCTGTGCTCAGGCCACCCCTTGCAGGGCTTGTCTCTGGAGAAGACAAATGCATAGATTAGGCTTGTGAAGGTAGAATAACTCTTATTTCAGAAGTGTGTCCAAAAGTGCATGTTCTAAACTATTATCAACTGCAGTCTTCTAAAACATGTTCATTCTTAGTGGGAGGCTGTTTATTGGTGTTTAGTTAAGCTTTCCTGGCCAGGTGGCAGTGAGCTGCCCTTTCCAGGGCAGTCAGTGCTATTCATCCTGTATTGTATGCAACCTCCAGACTTAAATAACAAAATCGTTTCATTCTACATATCCATGAGAAATGCTGACTCCTCAGATAGCCATAAACAGGAATAGGGGAGTGCTCCAAATTAGAAAAAGTATAATTCATTTTTCACTTGCCTTTTCCTTTTGTCCTTGCAGGTGTGCCTGCAGGACTTTTGTTGGTGGGGACAATTTTGACTTGCATTGAGTTACTGTCTCCTGGGAATGAGGCTGGGGAGGTGGTTATCTCTTCCACTGAGGCCAAAGCTTCCATAAATCCATCTTCTTCTGAATAAGCAGAAAAAAGAAAGCAGAAAAAGAAACAGAAAATAAACAGCATAAAAGATTTTAATTTTAGATAGCTGGTGAGAGTAATATCCTCAGGCAGAACGAGTGTGAATTGATGGTTATAGAGAAGGAGTATCTAAGAGGAAAATTGAAAAAGCAGAGTATCCACACTGGTCATTTATGCACATCTCTTGCCTTTCACTAAAAAAGGACTGTTGTTAACTATGATCAATTTAACTGCTGATTGTTTGGGGGGTTTTTTAATTTTTTTTTTTATGTACTGAGACAAAGAGCTTTGCAGGTGCTAAAAATCATGTTGTTTGCTGCTTAGTCAGCTGTACTGAGAGATAAAGTAGAGGTGAGATGTCATTTGCTGAGTAAATTTCCTTAAAAGCGTCTGTTCACCTGAAGTTTCTATAACTGAGAGTAACATCAGTGAAAGAGGGAAATTATTTGATTGATGCAGAGCTGGGTGACTGAAGGGTTTACTGGGTTGTAACCACAAGGAAATATTGAGGGAAAAACAAGTTGAAAAAAAATTCTTTTCAGGAGATTCTTTATCCTAAAAATTAATTTATTGTTTGTTTTTAGATTATCTGACACTTTATTGTAGATCAGGAAAGTTTTGTTGAATTTGGAGGTACTTAAAATATTATTCTTACTTTTTAAACCTTTTTTATATAAACTAATTTGTGAATGAAAACACTTATCAAATGGATTAATTTTCTTTTCTAAATGTCAATGTGAACAATGTGGCATTTCACAAAATAAATGTATTTAAAATACTAATGGGCATGTATTTTCATATTTTTAAAGCTTTCCTTTTGAATTCTTTGGCTGAATTTCTTGATTGGACTAAACTCAAATCCATTAAGCTTGTCCCTCTGATGTTCTGGTTTTAGTATGTGTTGAAAATAACCTGTCAGAGGATAAGAGAACAGATTAGAAGAAATTAAAGTACTGCTAAGAACACAGCAACGCCCATGAAAGGTGGCAGAAAGGGATCAATAGTCACACACTTGTTTTGAAATCTCAGCAAGGTGCACATTTTATGCTACTTTCTTTGGGAGTGGAATGTTGAAATGAAAGTGATTCCTGCTGGATGTAAAAAAAAAATAAAACCAGAGTTTGGGAAATTCTACGCTTAGCTAAGAATAGATATCACAAATAAACTCCTGGGGGCCATGCAGACCTGCTATACACAGATTTTCTGGTACATTCAAATTAATGTAGGAGAGCATTTAGTGATTTTGACCAGTGCTTAGTACAGCAATGCTGAATTCATTGGGGTGGGAGACAGGGATATTTTTCAGACAGTGTAATCAGAGACAAAAAATGACTGCTTTCTACTCTCCATATGCAGTTTTCTCTGACATTTTTCTGGTGGATTTCAGCCTGCCTGGATAATCCTTTCGATACAAAAGGGGCCAGAGGAAACTTCCAGATCCACCACGGTGCTCCATTTCCAGCTGTGCCTACTGGTGAGGCTGTGCTCAAAGCACAGACACCTGCAAGAGCTGGAACAGGTTTTAGACTGGGAGAGAGTTCCATGAAATTATCTGTAATAAAGGAGGAGGCAAAATCAAAATAAACCCTTCTGGCAGCAAATGCTGTGAATGTAATTTACAGAAACAACCATTATATCATTAAACCTCTTTCAGAAAGACTTGGATGAGGAGTGCAAATGAGTGGCTGGAGGCAAGGAGCAGCTCATGCTTCTCAGCCAGGTTTTATTGTTTGTGTATCTGCTATCTGACCCTGATCTAAATTTGATTCTCTGGCAACCCTGCTGCTACCATGCACAGAGTTTTAACTGTGATGCTTTTAGATGAAGAATTGCTGTGTCAGTCAAGGAAAGAGGAAAACTGAGGGTCACTGACCTTTTATTGAGAGGATGGGGGCAGCAGGAGCTGTGCCTCTGTGGTCCCTTGAGGTAACTGTACAAAAACCAGAGACATCATGGGAGTGACCTGCCAGCTGAATTTCTGCCATGCATTTCTGAAATTACTTTGACTTAAAGCATTATAAATTTAAACCAAACAGCCTGGATTTATTAAGATGGTAATTAGGAGGAGCAAAGTGTTTTGCTGAAGGATGTGCAAGTCAGCAGAAGAAATATTATCCAGAAATCCTGTGCTGAAGATTTTTGACTGTGACACCACAGAGCTTCATAAATGAAAATCTATCTTCACCTGTAGTCAAGAATGCCAAATTTGTCAAGAAAGTTTAATGACTCTTACCTTTGGCTTTGGAAATTGCCAAGACTCTGTCACGGGGCTCAAAAGAAACCACTGTTGAAAATAGAAAATATAAACTCAGGAAAGACATTGCCAGCACAGTTATGAACAGTCAGGCTGCTGAAAAGAGCTTTTTCTGAAAACAGGAAGGTACAGACATATCATGGGGAGATATTTGCCTATTTTTCTCAGTGGTGTATTGATGGTTACAGACAAAATGATACTCATAAATTAATCTCATTGCATGCAAATAATGTGCATAGCACTAACACAGGATTCTGTGATTCTATGAAAGAAGTGTAAATATGGCTGAATTGGGAAATTCAATATTAAGTCTATTTGACAGACAAATAGATTAAACAGGGTTAGGTCTGGCATCCCAGTGTTGAGCACAGAGTTCTTGGGTTCCTTGTGGACATCTTGTGTTTGCCTGCACTGAGAGTCAGGTATGGATGGGCAGCCATAAGTCCAAATACTTCTCTGACCTCTAACTTGTTTTCTTTACCTGATAAAATTATTTTCATTTGTCAGCTGCCTTTTGATGTATTATAAAAATAGCTATCAAATGATCTAAAAAATCATCTCCACATTTTTTTCTGTGTTGTTAGGCTGTTGTGATGTGAAGAATAACTTGTTTGCCTCTGAATGAGTTTCTCAGTGATATTTAGCTTTGGTTTAATGAAGCTTCCACATTAGTCAATGTTGAAGATTCTTTGGGCTTAAACAGGAAGACAACTGGTTAAATAGTAAGTGGTTCTCCAAATGTTTCCTTCAAAGACTGATTAGATACATTATCTGTATTGTTTTCAGCTTTCTAAAATTCCTAATACAGGTTTTTGTTCATTGGTAATGCTTGGAACCTTATGATGGACTGTGCCTCAATAGGGAGCAGGGGAAGTTGTTTTTTTCAGGAAGTAAAAGATTGCTTCAGAAGTGCAAATACAGGAGCTCTCATTCCTTCAGAAGTTCTGTTTTCTATTACAAAGTGTCCCAGAAGCAGATAGGAAAACATGAACCAACACAGGAGCTGCTGCTAGGTGAGAATGCAAAGTAGTAAGGAACTACTTTGATAATACAGGAGAGCTATGAAGGAACAGCCAGCACTTACATTCAGCATAAAGCCTTTTCAGGTACTTACACTTGTGCATGTGCTGCTATTTAAAAATATAAACACCAAATAAACCCACAAACCCTTAAATGTCAGAAACATTGGTTTTTAAAACCAAAAACAAAAATTCCATGTGGTTTTTATTATTCTAGAGTCACACTTAGGGCACTGGCACACACAGAGGAGCACACTGAAGCTTGAAATCAAGTTCTTAGGTTCTCAAAAAAATCCAATTTTCCATCTCTCCCTGTGCAAGCTGGTCTAGTGGAAAGCAGGGGCTTTGGAATGAGATGATCCTTAAGGGTTCCAACACAAACCACTCTGTGATTTTCTGGGTTAAGCAGTGGCCTGGTTGCTCATATCCAGTGCATGTTGCGTCTGTGCTTTGCAGGTATGGGGCCTATGAACAGAGAATCATGGAATCATCAGGAGAGGAGGAGACTTTCAGATCCCCCAACCCAGCTGTCAGCCCAGCCCTGCCCCTGTAACCCCTGAACCACCAAACCACATTGCCCAGCACCAAATCCAGGTGCTCTTAAACACCTGCAGGGGTGGTGACTCCACCACCTCCCTGGGCAGCCTATTCCAATGTCTGAGCACCTGAACAGTGAAAAAATTCTTATTAATATCTCATCTGAATCTCCCCTGCTTCATCTTAAGGACATTTTCTCTGATTGTTTCCCTGCAGGCACAGTAGAAAAGGCCAATGCCCACCTCACAACACCCTCCTCTCAGGTGGTTTTAGAGAGCAGTGAGGTTCCCCTGAGCCTGCTCTTCTCAAGACTAAACAAACCCATCTGTCTCAGCCACTCCTCATAAAAAATGTTCTCCAGTCCTCTCACAAGCCTTGTTACCCTTCTCTGGACACACCCCAGCACCTCAATGTCCTTTTAAAAGTGAGGGGCCCAGAACTGAGCACAGCACTCGGGGTGCAGCCTCATGATGCTGAGGGGTGATCCCTGCCCTGGTCCTGCTGGTCACGCTGCTGCTGACACAGGCCAAGATGCCACTGGCCTCCTGGGCCACCTGGGCACACTCTGGCTCCTACTGAGGCAGCTGTGCAGCAGCACTGCCAGTCCATTCTCCAAACAGCTCTGATGCCACTTCTCCCTTAACAGCAGTGGCTTTGCTTGTGATGGAGCCACAAAACAAGAGTGCAGCAGCTAAACTGGGTAAGAGTCCAGGACTGGTCTCCCTCTCTACTTCATATCTCAGCCCTCTCTCACAAGGTGTCCCTGAGGGCTTTGGGTGCTTCTGTCCCTGGCCTCTCGTGTGGCAGTGCTACCATGCAGGCCAGAGAACAGACTCTCACTGGAGCAGTCAGAATCTGTTTGCAAGTACCCACTCCTCATAACACAGCCATTGATTGCAGCAGAAAAAAAAGACTGTCATGAGAACCACTTGGCCTTGTGGTTTAGAGACTCACCAAGGAGGCTGCAGAGTGAGGAGGTTTCAGCCTGGATTTCATTGGTACAAATAAATAAACTAAAAACTGGTGGTTTTTTGGCACCAACCATGCTCAGAAGTTCCTCATGATGCTGCTTGATCTTAATTAATTCAATATCTTTTAAAGACAAGAAATATGCAGTTGGCTGTGGGTCAGGTGGCTGGACCATCTCTGCCAAACAGCTCACCTGCTCCAACCTGTGTTCCCAGGGGAAAAAGGACGTTTTGATGAAAACAGGTTTTGTTGTAGCCCTTGGGAAACTCACTGTAAACACTGCTTAAACACATTACATGCACAAATTGAAAAATTGCACCTTCCCATTCAATCTTGAGCTCCATCACCAAAACATTACATCTAGTTTTACATCAATTCTTTTAGAAGGGTGGAAAGAAAGCAAATAGCCTCTCAGCTTTTGGGAGCTGCAAGCAGGGCTTTTGTCACTCTAAGTGCAAACCTTCTTCCACAGATGCAGTCACAGCTGGTGTTCCATCAATCCCTTGATGAACCAATTCTGGAAAAAAAAAATTACTTGTGGCTTAGGGTGATCCTTAGACTGTATCCTGGAATAACATGATCAGAGTCACCAAAAAGGAACTTATTTCTAAATATTATTATGGTTACAGCAGCAGTATTAAAATAATGCTTTAGTATTTATATCCTGCTGATACTAAATTCTCTTGAGCTACATACAGTTTAATAATAAAAAATAATCCCAAAGAGTTTCAACCTCAACAAGAGAAATCAGCTGTCAGTTAGCATTCTTTAAATTTCTATTTCTTCAGCTTATTTTTCTGAGTATAAGTTGGTCTCAATTTGATACATTCCAGACAGAGAATTACGGAGGTGACCTACCCTCCATGTGTCGTGTTGTCAGCTCTCTCTTGCTAGTTGTTTCTGAAAGATAAAGGTCTCTCATAAAGTGTGAGAAGGGGATTTTTTCACTGTTTGATCCGAATAGCACAAATCAGGAGTCCATTGAATGTATTCCTATTAAAGATTTAGTCAAATACACGCCCATTTCACACAATTTTTTCACTGTAATAAAGAATCTACTAAAATGCTTTGCCTATGGATTCATCAGATAGGGTTATTATTTTTTTCCCAAAGTCAGAGCTGGACAGAACAGCTACACAGAAGTATTATAACATGAGTGAACATTAAGTGAAAATGTTAAAATGTTTCATTCAGAATTGCTTTTTTTTTTTCCTCCTCATCAAGAAATATAATCAGGCACATAAAATTAGCAGAGGCATCCAGTGAACAAAAATGGACTCTCTTTATCAGCAGTGATAAAACCAGCATGATTTTCCTGTTAGCAAAGATCAATTTCCCCTTTATTTTTAGTGTGTTGGATCTACCATACTGTATATCAGAGATATCTGATCCCAGGGAAAGACTGCTGTCTTAAATGGCTTTGATACTAACCTTCCTGGGGCATTTTATTCTCCCTTGCTGCATTCAGGAGGGTGTGCACACATTTAGAGTGTGACACAGATGTGTGTCTCTGTCTGTCTGTCTGTCCTTAGCACTGGAGGCAGTGACTTTGACCCAAAATATCGGAAAAGCCAATGCTGCTTTTTTCACATCTCCCTAAGCTTGGGGACCCAGAGCTCCTTCCCCTGCCATGCTCGGATTGCAATCCATAAGAATGAAGTTTTTAATCCAGGCCTGCTCCCAGGGGCAGGCACTTGGTCTTGCAGGGCTGTGATTTCAGCTACAGAGCACAGAACAGTGTGTGACCACAGGGATGAACCTCCCCTTCCTCCTCAGCAGGGCTTTTCCTTCCAGAATAGAAGCCAAGTGACAGACTAGAGCAAGCCTGTTTTTGCTTTCCCAGTCACTTTTTGAATGGTTTAAGGGAAGATTTGGGTTAGCAATATTTCCAGCATTTCCTGCTAGTGACATCATCACAAGTATCACTCATTCATTCCAGGTGACAGAAGCTTCCTGAAGAAAAAAATTTCTTTACATCTAACTGGAATTTCCCTGTTGCAGTGGTGTTCCTTGCACCCTCTGCAGCTCCTGGAAGAGTCTGGCAGCATCTTCTCTCCACACCCCACTCAGTACTGAGAACTGCAAAAAGATCTTCCCCAAGCCTTCTCCTATTTCCTCATGGGCTCCAGCCCCCTCCCCATCTCAGAGACCCCTCCTGGCCCTGCTCCAGGACAGCAATCAGTCTGCCACCACCTTCTCTCCTGGTATTCACCCAAGTAGCAGTAAGTGGACAGGACCCATGAAACAGAGACCAGATTTATGGCAGGAAAGCACCCAGCTCCTGCTTCATTCTCCTTGGGTCACATTTGGTGCCAGCAGAAAATCTGGCAGGAGGGGCAGTCGCTCAGATCCCTGTTATTACCTGTAACTGGAGATGGGCAGGAGGAGACATCCAGCCCATTCAAGGAGGAGTTGATCTGTGCTTTCACAAAGCATTCAATGGCATCTTTGTCACAGGTGCAGAGGAACTGTTCACAGGGATCCACAGACTCTGGAAATAAAACAAAAATCCAAACAAGGCGCTATTGAAAAATCTTTTCCATCTTCTGCTTTTTCCTCCCTGTAAGGTTTGTGTCTGTATTTCATTAGTCCAGACCTATTTATATTGTGCTTCTCCATGCAAAACATGGACAAGTTTCATAGTCCAACTCTTGTTTTAAACACCAGTTGATGCAGCCTGGCATGGCTGTCAATAAATTATTGCCTCTTTGCTTGTGTCTGCAGAGCATTGAGGACTACAGAGCAAGGCTCTAGTTTTTCCACAGAAAACTTAATCCAGCTGATACTGTGTTTAACATTTCACAGACTTCATCAAAATATTCCTCCTAACTCCACGAAGTCACAATCCACAATCCAAGCCTTTCCTGGATATGTGATTTGCTCCTTATAAAGGATCAGAGAACTTTAGAACAGCTTGGATTGGAAGGTGTGTTAAACCTCATGCCATTCCCTCCCTGCTATGGCAGGGACACCTTCCACTATCCCAGGTTGCTCAAAGCCCCATCCAGCCTGGCCTTGAACTCTTCCAGGGATGAGGCATCCACAACTTCTCTGGGCAACTTGTGCCAGTGCCTCACTGCCCTCAAAGTTAAAAATTTCCTCCTAACACAAAGGTTATGAAACAGTTCCCCATGAAATACTCTATTTTATCTCTTCAAAATTTCCTACCTTTCAGAGTTTAAAGAAACATTGACTTTTCATAGCTTCTATTTTGGATTTGTGATGGGGACTATATAGAAAGAGCTTAAAAAGCATTATTAATGCTTAAATGCACTTGGACAATTAGAGATTGGCCTAAATAACAAAAATAGTTTTAATTTGAAATAAGAAATGGAAATTGGATCAGATTGTTGCTTAAATAGGATGTAAGGGTATTAGTTTGGAGATTCTGTTCTTCTTTGCTGGTATCTTCAAACCATGTTCTAGCATATAGTCTTTTCTGAGAGCCAAAACTTGATGAAAAATTATATTACAAGTTATTAGGCATTAAAGAACCCCACTGCACTCTTGTCAGGCCTGTACCAGCACTGCATGGAATAGCTCCTGTTATAACACATGATTTCTGCCCTCACTGGTAATAGAGCTGTAGCTAAGGAGTGTGTGTGACCCTCTGAACAATGAATTTGATCCCTCAAAGTGCAGAAAAATCAGGCCTTGATGCCTCAGAAGATTGTTTTTCAGGTCTCTCCTCAGCATCTGCTGCATTTCTGATGTGTTGAGACATCTCAAGCAATGCTTAGTGATCTTGTAAAGTAAGGGAAATCCCAGGAGGAGGCTGCCTGGTGGAGCAGCTCTGGGAAGCGGAGGGGGTTTCTGATGAATTTGTCTATACTTTTGGTAGATAGACCAGAACAAACTTCTGGTGGCAGTGAGGCTCCAGTGTCGAGCTCTTTTGACAGGTCAATCTCACCACAGGTCAGGTTTTTAGCAGAGCAGCTGACATCTGCAGAAATCTTTGATGGGTCCCACGTGCACTCCATCTCCAGCGCTTCCTCGTAGCATTTGCGGTGCTGGAAGCAGCATCTTGAAGAGGAAATAACAGAGAGGTCAAACCATTCAGTTGGATCCCCAGACAAAAGAAAGGCCGAGTGCTCCCTCTCCCTGAGTCAGAGTGGCAGGATAACCATGGCTGCATGCAAAACTCCATGGTGGGAGCAGGTCTGACTGCTGTGGGTGACCAAACATTTCAGTCCTGCTGTGTTTCCTGGGTGCTTGCAAGGACTTTACAGGCACTTCATATAAGAAATCCACTACCAGTGCACAAATACCTCCCCTCAGCACTGTCAGGTCACTGACAAGTAAAGCCTCACAAGTCAGCCCCAGAGATCTTGGATCCAGTCCAGTCCCAGCCTTCCTCACTGCGGATTTGGAGAACTAAACTGAACCCGGCACTCATGGAGGGTTAATGGCTCTGCAATGTGAATTCCTGTGTCTCATTGGGACTACATAAATACATGCAGCTTTATCCTCTATTTCTTGTACTTCTATTCAACAATCACAATTGAAATGCACTATTTAGCCATGGGAAAGGGCCACATAATATTTTTCTCACACTGGAGTAAAAGTTTTCTCCTGCCAGTACACATCACAGTCAGTCAGAAACCTTGTGTTTTCCTGCACTTCTGCTGTCCTGCCAAACTCAAATTGCCTACAGGGCCACTTTAGCTTTGAGTAGGAATAAAAAGTCAACTAAACCAACAAGCTCTTCTTCAATCCTCTCCTTTCTTCAGTTCTTTGTACAGATAAATCATCTCCACAACATCTCTGTGCACTGACACCATCTCTAAATGAAACACCAAGTAAAACAGTCATCATTTACCCCAAGAAAAATTGTTACATAGATTAAACAGTCTTCTTGTTAAATTCAGACCAAAATACCCTCATTTCAGAGAAATGGACTCAAAACACAGCTCTGTTATTGAGTTGCATTTGTCCTGGACAATGCTGAAGGCAAGGACAACACAAATATCCAAACCCAGCATCTGCTGCCAGCTCCCTTCTAGGGAGCCCTTCTATACATGCTACACATGCACTCCTTCACCTCCTACATGTAGAAAGAATTTAATATTAAATAATTGATTGTATCAATAAATAATTATCACAATATTTTACTTGTCTTCACAACCAAAGAAGGAGTCCAAGAAATGTATCTAGAAAAGGTGAGGGCAAATAGCATTTAGCAGAAAGGCCTGATGGATACTCTGCACCACAAATTCTGTCCCTTGTTCCAGGGATGAGGCCGAAATCTGTGAGCTACATCAGGAAAAGGGTTTTGAACACCTAACTTGTGATGTCTCAACACTCTCCTGACTCTCCCTGAGGTGTGGTGAGGTGTTAGCATCTAAAAGCTCCTCTAACTGCATAAGAAGTCTCACACAAACTCTCTGCACTTCTTGTTTGTTTAGAGATTCACGATTACATCAACATTTGCTGTAACAGTTAATCAAAAAAATTCACTTAGTTTCCCTTTGCAAGCAGGGAAGGGATTATTTCCCTGTCATTGCAAGACATGGATTGTCTTCTGGGCCTGCTTCTCTTTCACAAAGTTTATGGAGGCTCCTAATTTAGATATGACAATGAGGTACTCTGGGAAATGGGAAAAGGTTGCTCTTACAGGCACTAGTACTTTCCCATGCCTGAAAAACCTGCTGTGAGGCACTGAGTCCTTTTCTGTGGAACAGAAATGGCACAGGCAAGCCCCAAGATTTGCAAAACTATTTTCTAAGAAATAAAATCAACGAAAAAAAAATGCAACACCTGGGAACTGTCTCTGGGAGAGACAGGTTTGGAGGCTCCCTTGAACTAAGAGCACATCTCTGTCAGTGGCAAAGCAATAATCAGTCTCTGTTTGCTGCACATGACAGTAGGAATTCTGTGCTGGTAGGGAAACCTCACCCCAGGGCTGCAAAACAATTTGTAAATACAAACTGGCTGTGTGGGTGATTCTCAGGACAAACCTGCTGATGGATGTTTCTGCATTTTCTGGGTTTGTGCTGCTCTGCACTAAAATGAAACTGAGTGAAGCAAAAGCCCAGGTGCTCAGCTCTTGGGTATCAACCCATTGAACTGACTCAAGCTCCCGTTTCAGGATGTCATCACAATTGTTCAAAAAACCTTTCACAGAGAAGTTCCATGGCTTGTTTCCAGTAGCAGGGTTAGATCTCCATTTTCCCAGCCATCCATGATGCAGAGTGGATGGATTAATTTCCACCTATCTATAGGCTTAGCCCTTTCTGAGCCATTGCTTCTTCACTCAGGGAATGAATACATTGCATTGTTGGAAAACCCATTTCCTTCACATGGATGTAGCTTGTTTCTCTTTGAATCTCCTTTCACATCTCCTGCTGATATAATTAAACAACTATTTGATTGTCCTGGCCTGAGATTACATTTTCTCTCACTGGAGCCAGATGGTGTGGGTCTTACTTACCCCCAGATAAATCTGTCTTTTTATTACTGATTTTAACTAATTTATACAGGTGTTATCCTTTGGGTAATCAGATCATGAGGGCATTTACTGCCAGTCAGGGCAGAAAAGGACCTCTCATGGCTATGACTTACTCATCAGCTTCATCCACGGGGAGCCCTTCCATCTCAAACCGGCAAGAGCAGCCATAGTCTTCAAAATCCCTGGGACAAAACCCAGTAACACACTTCATTTTGTTCACAAAGTTGAGAAGGGCAGGGAAGTTGGTGAAGATGGACTGTAACCAGGTGAAGTGAGAGCCCAGGCAGTCTGGAAGGAGAACAGCCATAAAACACCTGGTGAGTGAAGGTGGGGCAGGTGTGGGTGACACACGGGTGACGTTTGTGTGAGCACAGAGCCCAGACAAGGCAGTGACATCGGGCAGTGCTTGGCACTCAGCAGTGCTTAATGTTACAGTGGTCCTTGGGGAGATCTGCATCCACAAAAATCCCTCTTTCATCTTAGTAAATATACAAAAACAACCCCACAGGATTTCTATTCAGAGCTAAAGTACAACTGGAACAGATACGTACCAAAAAATAATGCAACACTTTCCACATTTTGGAAGACTCCATTGAAGAGTGTGGCATTGTCTAAATGAAAAAATAAACAAACAATGCTTACTTAAAAAAAAAAAAATTAAAATAATTGTCCCCAGACTTCCCTTGGTCTCACTTCAGTTGTTAAACCATTTTGAGATGAGTTCCCAGCTATTTGCTTAAACTTCTCTGTGATGGTTCTGGAGTACAAGGATTCCCACTGCCATGCAACATTGCAGAAAGTAAATCTTAAACCTTTCTTACTCAAGAATCTCTCAGGTGTGTTAAGCAGCTCTGGCAGGAATGCTGGAGGCTTCTGTTCTTGGCCACCTACCTCAGCAAATAAATTTGAGAAGAAAAACATTTAAACATAAAAAAACCAAAAAAACCCAAACCAAACCAAACCAACCAAACAAACAAACAAAAAGCAACAAAAAACCCCCTAACAAACAAACAAAAAAAAAGGCAAAACAAAATAAGAAACCCCTAAAACTAAAAAAAAAACAAAAAAAAAAAAAAACAAAAAAAACAAAAAAAAAAAAAAACAAAAAAAACAAAAAAAAAAAAAAAAAAACAAAACAAAACAAAAAAAAAAACCCACCAAACTCCAAAAGATAACAATAAACCAGCAATATATATTTCATTGTGACATTCTGCAGGCATTTTTAATATCTTCATATACTGGTAAGCTGATTTGTCAAAGACATGAAGTACTTGCTCAGCTCCATCCCCACCCTGGGAAGCCCAGAATTGTACTGGTGTGAACTGGTGTGGACTGGTAATTCACACCCTCTTCAGGCCAAAACCCAGTCTCTCTTGAACAGGTATTGCTGCTGAGGATGAGTTAACTCTGCTCTTCCTGTTCCCATCTGAACAGTAGCCCTTTCTGGGACAAATTAGTAGAATTATATAAAATTGGTTTAGTGCCCGTGCCTACCTATGCCCCAAATACTCTGTATCCCTGTGCTACAATGTGAAGCTGGGTTATTGAAGTGATTTGGTTTTTCTGAGTCCATCTTGGCTATTGACTTTTTTCTCATTGTCTCTCTTTCTATAACTCTTCATATTTTAAGTTAATTATCTTTTCTTCCTTTTGAAGATGACATGGTAGATTTGGCATCTTTTCAACGCTTCCATTTTTAATGTTGGCCAAATCCTGAATTAGAGTAAAATATAATATTTGTTCTCTCTCTTCCCATTTTTCACTTGTTTTTTAACTCTGCATGATTTCAGAAAACAGTGTATTACTTTGGATTTATTTAACTTTGGCTTTTTAAAAGTAAAGTAAAGTAAGTAAAGGATATTTGCTATATAGAATCTATATATAGAATCTATATATTTAAAAGTGAAAAACCCCATAGTGCTAAATTCATGGCATAATTTATGTCTCAGAATAACTGGCATTAGGAAAGCAGTCCTTTTTCTCAAAAAAAAAATCTGGGAAAGAGCTGACAGTTCTCTTGCTCATCTGTTACATTTTCCTGCAATAAATATAGGTGTAAAAGAGTAAAGCATAGTGGTGGAGTTTTAGATAGGGGGCTTAACTCTGTGTTTAACAAAGAATTAGGAAAAATAGGATTTTTTTAAGATCATATATAAGTGCTTTCCAGGATGCCCACAACTTTTGTGATGCGAACAAGATTTTCATGGTAATAGTCAAATCCTCCCAGCAATTAATATCTCAAGTTCAGTTGCAGAATATGGAGGAAGGATTGGGTGAGTCAGGAAGAGGTGCTTCCTCTTGTGTTATTCCTTTTCCTGAAATTCTTGGTCACAACGAGAAGCTTTTAGATAAAGAGTAATCCATCAAAAGTGTCCTTCTCTGTAGCAGGACTAAGGGGAGCAAATTACTTTCCACAAACCAGAAAAAGTCTCCCAAATAATCGCTGGTCTTTTCACAGAACTGGAACAAGTCTGTTGAAAGCTTCATTGCCCTGAGGAATTCAGCTTCAGGCAAAATAATGGCATGCCTTGCAAAAAATCAGCATTGAATGCTATATTTGTACACATGCTTGCTAAAGAAAATCTAACCCTTATTTTCTGGCTTAAAGCCTGTATTTCCTCTGCAATGACAAACATCACCTGGGCCAGGTTCTGTCAAGTGCAACTGGAGCTAGGTTTGACACACTGGCTCAAACTAAGTGTTGACGAAGAGCCATTAATTATTTTGTCCTTTCATCAAAATGTTTGGAAAACATGAAAATGCCACAGATTTGAAATGAGTTAGAGGAGAAAATTGACAAAACCATATTCCAGGGGTACTGGAAGCTGTGACTGCTCCACTATCCTTCACCTGCAATTAGTTATTCTGAGCAAACTGAACTGTGTACACCCAATTAACACATAAATGTTTGAAGTTCCCCTGGAGAGGAATGTCTGCTCAGCAGTTTGGTAAATCATTGGCTCTTCTAATCCACTAATTACAAAGAAAAACTTTTCTAATTGTCACCAAGTCTAGATCAATTAACCAACGTTTGCTAACAAGATTGCTTACTTTTGATTAAATTGGGAGGTGTAAGGAATAAGGAGAAAATACTTTCTGGAGTAATTATTCTCTTTTCATCTTTAGGTATCATGTATTTGGAAATACTGTCCTATGTCATTCCCTGTGGCGGCAGTGAAAGATTTCACTACAAAAATCAATCCTTTAAATCTCAGAAGACCCTGGGGATGCCAACTTGTCTCACCTCTCTCCAAAACCTGTTAAAAAATTCAGTATGTTTTGAGGAGGCTTTTATGATACATCAGCTCTTGGTCTTTTCCATTGTACACCTTATCCGTGGAATTTATTTTAATGTTCAGTTACATATAATATTGTTTCTGGACCTCATTTGTGATTTTCCTACCTGACAACAGTTTTCTGAAATGTTATATAAAATAAAGCCCATCAAAAAACATCAGTGCACCTCCGGTTGTCTTTTTCAGCCATGGCTCACTAAAATGTCCTAATACAGGGCATGGATGCTCTCCTTATAATCCTTGGGATGCAAAAACCTCGACTATGCCAGAAAAAGTCAGGTTTCAGCAAACCCAAACTATTTGATTTATTCATGGTAAATCACATTAATTCCTCTCAAGGCTACTATTTCATGCACAAATATTTGCTTCAGTCTCAAAGCAGAGATCAGCAGAATAAATCCCACAGAAATATAAATCAATAATCCTCCCCAAACCTAAACGTGGTAACACTTTAAATATTCATGTTCTGATTGTATTTAGCTAAGGGGAATGAAACTAAACACTCTTGCACAGCCCTTTAAGTTTTGGAGGATTTTTTTTTTCAAATGTTTTGTCAGAAAAATGTATGAATGTCCAGATATTTTTGAGTGCAGTATCAATATAAAAATACACATTTTTAAAATAAATAGGTAGTGCAGGTATTTGGGCATTTGCTGTCACCGCAGTAGGAAATGTGAATATTCTCTCTGACTTCTCTCTATATAGTAGATGCATTAAGGTTCAGCTTCATAATTATAGCCTGTATGTTTTGTGTTAGTCCTGTTTGGTTTCTGAACTGCAATGCAAGCAACGCCTCAGAGGAAAAGCAACTGGTGAAGATGATGAATGTCAGTGAAGAATTTTTCTATTCTGGGATCCTGAATTTTCTCTTCCCTTTAGAAATATCCCCATGGATTGACCAGAAATGGTGATAGACATTCCGAGAGTCCTTCTGTTGCACATCATAACTCTTACTGACATTCCTACCCAGTGCAGAGACTGCAGAAATTTGAGATGTTTGCCCATCTCTGACTCAGGAAGTTCATTCACTCATGACAATAAAATATAAAGAGTTATATGAAGAAAAAGCTATTCATACTAAAATTCAAAAGAGGAGCCTTAGGTGCACATGGGTTCTATTTCAGGATGTACTGAATGGTTTGGAGAATTAAGACAATAGAAATGTATTTAATGACTAGAATCTCTTTATATGAAACTTATACATTTGGAGTCCTAATGGCTTAAATAATGACAAAGTGCTAGCAAAAAGAAGTTGAAATTTTTTTTGGTTGTATTTTTAACCCCTCTACATATTCTGTTGTTTCACTATAAGTCCTGAGCAAAATACTTTATAAGTATTTAATAAAGAAATGTCTTCAAGTGCATTTGGGTTTTGAACACCAAAATGTGAACAGTTTCTAAGGGACTGTTTCCAAATGGTCATACTTAAAATAGTATTTTGACACGTCAAATAATCATAAAAATACATTGCCACTTACCACTGTACACCACCATGGACATAGACACCAGCAGAATTACAATCATATTTTTGTTTAATCCAAAGACAAGAAAAAAGTCACACAGCAGACTGGTGTGCCTGGTGAGTTAAGTAAAATATTAAACAGAATGTTATCTCTTCAGTCTGGGAGTGGGAAGACACCATTTTGGGAAATCATTCTTTTGTAGCCTGGATATATTTCTGGTTGACAAAATTCAGTTTTTACCCTTATCATAGTAAATGTGCATATTACAGGAATGATGAGCCTTATGCATCCTTACTTTAGCAATGTTGTCTAAAAGTCTGACTAACAATATTTATTTTGGTATTGCTTTGAGCCAACAGACTATGAAACTGCCATGCAACATAGAATGGTGCACTTGCAGTTTCTTTTGTTTTGCAAACAGTTTTCACATCTTCCTTCGTCTCATACAACGTTCAAACAATTCTTAGGTTTAAATGAAGATATTATGAAATACTGTGCAAATGAAGTTATTCTGATGTTGCATCTATGGAATTCAGTTTATCCACAATCCATTATATTTGTTTCATATCACAAAAATTTGTAGTCAAACATTTATTCAAATCTATATTGAGACTCATCTAATATATCCTAATTTTTCCTAATGAGAGATATGGTGTTATTTGCAGATCTTCAAGAAATGGGTATAAAATATTCATCTAAATGTGTTGCACTAGTATTCATTAAATGGAAGATGATAGATTGGGTTTTAATTGCAGTCACAAATTACTTTAAATTTAGAACAAGTAAGTCAGGCATAGGGCTTTTTACAGACAACTAAATGAACACGTATATATATCTATATATATACACACACATATATATCTCAGTTTTCAAATACGTACCTGCTTATTATGGAATTCATCTCTATTAGAAAATCTTGTCATAATTCATCAGGAAGTGAGATTATAAATGTAACAGCTCTAAATATTTATAGTCTATTTTCCCAAATCTCTTGCCTATATTTTTTGTGTATTACTCCTAAGTCACAAATAGCTTATTCTACATTGTTTTCTTCTTGCTTCCCTTATTATAGACAACATCCAGAAAGACTTACCTTGAGGGATATTATCCCAAAGCAGCTGGATGGAAGACAAATGAATTCAGCAAAGCCAGTACTAACTTATTTATACCCACTTGGATATAGACCTCACCCATGTGATCCCTTCCTTTATCAAACCCACTTCAACATTTATTAATTAATTCCTCCATGAGATTCCTTGGAGTCATTATGCCCACAGTGTATTTGGTAATATGGCTCCAGCCATGTAAAGGATCTATACCGAGAAGTCTGTTCTGCAGGTGCCTCCACCATATCATAACTTTCCCTAATACTCCTGGCTGTAATTAAATAACAGTCATCCCATTGTTATTAATCACTCACAAAATCTCTTGGGCATGTGAATGTGGCTTTAATGGCTTAGCAAGAGGTAGTGTTTGGTGATGAAAGATGAGTGAGAGTTTACTCAGCTTTAAGCACTGGCATTCCTCAGGGTTGGGAATTCTTCTTTAATCTATCTATGGTGGCTCTGATCCAAGGCTGAGTGAAATGCAGGAGGAGGTTGGTTCAGTGAGCTTTGAGCCAGCTGCTTTTCATCAGGAAGGTGTGCTTTCTGCCAGGGACAGACACAGCTACCCTTCAAAGAGTCCATCAACAAACTGTCCACTGAAGTGCAGCATGAAGTGACAAGTCTGACAATTGGAAATTGTAAAAAATACTTACACGAGCAAAAGGCCCTTTGAGACCTACAAGGTTTTCAGGAAGGCCTTCACAGTCTCCTGTAAGATCTTCATGCTGATATCTGAGTTGGATGTGCCTGGGGAGGTGGTTGACAATGGGCTGGTGGGGCCCTAAGGGCGGTGGCCAGTGGCACAAAGTCTGTTTGGAAGCCAGTGTCTGGTGGTGCATTCCAGCAGCCAGTGCTGGATCCAGCCCTGTTTAGCATCTCCATGAATGACCTGGATGAGGGGGCAGAATGGACCCTTGGCAGGCTGGCAGGTGACACTGAATGGGATGAGTGACTGGCATTTCAAAGGGTCATGCTACCATCCAGAAGGGCCTCAACAGGAGCTCCATGAAGCTCAACAAAAGTGCCAAGTCCTGCACCTGGAGAGGTGCAGCCTCATACACCAGTATGTGCTGTTGGCCACCCATTTGGGAAGGAGCTCACTAAAAAAGGACCTTGGTCCTGCTGGACACAGGGTTGAACAGGAGTCAGAGGTGTGCCCTTGCAGCAGAGAAGGCTCAGGATGTCCTGCACTGGGCAAAATGCTGCCTGCAGGTTGAAGGAGGGGCTCCTGCCCCTCTGCTCTGCACTGGTGAGGCCACACCTGCAGGGCTGTGTCCAGTTCTGGGCTTCCCACTATAGGACAGACATGGAAAAGCTTGGGACAGTTCAGAGAAGTGGCACAGAGATGATGAAGGGACTAGAACAATTCTCATGAGGAGGGGACAAGAGAGCTGTGACTCTTCACTAGAAGGGCCTTGTGGGGATCCCTTGGGGGTCTCTCAATCCACTGAACACCCGAGGGGAGGGTGCAAAGGGGACAGAGCCAGCCTCTGTCCAGGGGTGCCCAGTGACCTGACAAGAGGCAATGGGCACAGACTGAGAGCTGCTCCAACAAGGTGAGATCTCCCACGGCATGGCAGTACCGTGGCCATGTTATGGCACTTTTTGAACTTTGTGAAGTTCTTGTTGGCCCCTTCCTTCAGCCTGTTGAGGTCCTTCTGGGTAGCAGCATGTGTTATTCCCAGCACACGCTCACTGTATGGACATTCCTATTTATTCCATTGAGCTAACTTTCAATATCTGCTGAAATTGGTGCCACTCCAATCTATCCTGCTCTTTGACAAGACCGAAGTTCTCTCACGTTGCTATTGAGCTCATCAGTGAAATGTATTTTGGAAGAGAGCTGCTGCATCCCCCCTCTCCCTGGGGTCAGCATTGCTCATATTGCCACTTTCCTCCTTGGCTTTGCCTTTGAACTACTTTCTTCAGTGAAACATCAACGTGCAGCAGATATAGTGCAATTTTTTCTTATTTAAAAACAGTGTTAATGGCTCGAAGATGTACTCTGGGTAGATGTAGCACAATGTTGCTGCAGCATAGAAAAATATGGAACATGCAATTGATTTGGTTATCTTTTCTTTTTTTTTAGAACTGGTTTTTAGTTCACTAGACTTGCATATCAAGGAAATGAAAGCTGGGTTGGAAGAGGCCCTAAGCAACCTGATCTGGTGAAGTTGGAAGCAGATAATAATATTTAAGGCCCCTTCCAACCTATTCTACAATTCCATGTTTCTATGAGTCCTGGTGAGCTCACACAAATACATCTCAAAGTACAAAAGATCCTGTCACTTCCTGGGTTGACACTGCACAACTGGAATTGCTGAAGTAATGGAAATTTTTGATTTGGAAGATAATCTGCATGTGTTTAACACTAGAGAGTCCTTCTTGTCTTCAGTATTTCAAGTTGCTTTTAAATTACTTTGCATTTGTTAATTTTGACTACTATATCTCAAATGTCAATAAAATAAATAGAAACTATTTGCATTCGCTAACCAGACATATAAATATCTTTTATAAAATAAGATTTTTAAAAGACTTTCAATGTTTTTATTGCAGTTACATCACTTGTATAAAATATCTCTGGTTTTTAGACATTATTTTTACAATGACTTAGAGGAGGAGACATATCTAGGTTAACATCAGGTTAATAGCTTGTCTGATTTCAAATATTTACAAATAACATGTTGCTTTCTGATTTTTACACTGAGAAATCAAAAAGAAAACTAAAACTGCCACCAGTCTTCCAACTTGCAGTAAAATTTCTCAGTGCTCTAAACTGATGTACAGATGTTTTTAAGGCATTTTTGCTTTAATGCTGGAAGAACACAAGAAAATATTAGTTAGAAGAGGTTTTACAAGAAAATATTAAGCATGAATGAAGGTAAAATAATTTATTTAATCCTTTAAAATTATTATTAGATAAAATAGCTATCTGATGAAAGACAACAAATATTCTGTGGATATGCAAAAATCATTGTTATATCTTCATAACAAGGTATGTAGAGATATAAAGACATAAAGTGAAAATGTACTTACTGTGGGAGTAAGCAACTCTTTTGACTCTTTCGCAGACATAACTTGCATTTTTCACAAACCAGGAATAGTATTCAACACAGTACCTGAAGATGGAGCTACAGATAGGAGATGCAGTTAAAGATAAGAGGCTTGTTATCTTTCATGGAGAGGGACTTTGGACAAGGGCATGGAGGAGGAAAAAGAAGAGGAATGGCTTCAGGCTGAAAGAGGGCAGGTTCAGGTTAAATATTAGGCAGAAATTCTTTACTGTGAGGGTGGTGAGACACTGGCACAGGTTGCCCAGAGAAGCTGTGGATGCCCCATCCCTGGAAGTGTTCAAAGCCAGGTTGGATTGGGCTTGGAGCAACCTGGTCCAGTGGAAAGTGTCCCTGCCCATGGCAGCAGAGTTGGAATAAATGGTCTTTAGATCCCTTCCAACTCAAACCAATCTATGATTCCATGATAACCACAGTTTATCATGCTGCTATTACTAAATATGGAAATAAAAAGCTAGATTCCAACTTCAGTGATATCATTAGATGTTTGGAAAGGTGCAGCTGGGCTCTTTTCACTTAGCTGGAATACTGAAGCCAGATCAGGTACTGATCAGTGCACTGGGACACATTTGGGTCTCAGCTAGACCCTCCAAAACAATCTTTGGTGATTGAAAATTGTCATTTGGGAACAAAAAGCCCGAAGGAGTATTTTAAGCAGAAAGGTGCAGCTGGGCTCTTTTCACTTAGCTGGAATACTGAAGCCAGACCAGGTATGACCAGTTCACTGGGATACATTTGGGTCTCAGCTAGTGGCCACAGACCCTCCAAAACAATCTTTGGTGAATGAAAATTGTCATTTGGGAACAAAAAGCCTGAAGGAGTATTTTAAGCGGACAGAGAAATTAAAAATAGTGCCAGGTTTTACCTCATGGCTTCCTTTCTGG